GTCGTTTCACACCTGCTCTTCCAAAATTGTAAACAAAAAGTGAACCACCTGCTTTTGCAGTTGCGCAAAATACTTTGCGTCCGATAATTCTAATAAATTGGTCATTTTTTCAGGATGAGCTGATGACTATGAAGAGCAGAAAAGGAAGAATCAATATAAAAATTAGAAGAACGAAGTCGTTAATAATACATTGAAATGGGCTGCTTAATTTGGAAATGCCAGTAAGGGCGAGCTCACAACTATGAAACACACTCCATATGAAAATACTGTATTGTTATGATAAGGCGCTCTGCTCATGCTCTATACCTTTTACTGCCTTTACAACAATAAAATTCATTGCTAAAACTCAGCATATTCAGAGACAAATTTGAACAGAAATATCATCTTTGTATTGTTTTGTTCCTTCTCCAAGATTATTCTCCACTTTCCAATTGCTGGGCATTCCTTTGCTTGTTGTGCAGACGATAAATAATGTTATGGGGTAGCCGCCGTCATTGGTAGAAAACATCCTAGGTAAGAACAGTAAAAGGGATGAACCAAGCTAGGCACTCGATTGAGATTCAGAATGACGACAACATTACGATAAACATACTGATTGCGATAGCTAGAAATGAAGATTCTAGTTTTCGTTATTCCCGGACAAGTTCAATGCCAATTAGCCAACCACAATTGATCGTTGGAAAGTTCCCTCGTCTGAGTGATTCCGAAGATTGGGCTTCGCACTATGAGCGCGGTAGCGACACCCCTTCTTATGGCCAGAGGACCAAGAAGGATCTTCGATCATTGAGCCTCATTACCGCTTCAGACAATAATGGATAGCTGAAGTCCCAACGACAGAATTCCTCGCCCGTGTTTTGACGGCGCTGTTCGGTTTGGTGACGTGAATTAGCCTGAACAAAGAAAGGGTGTCGTTCAGGGTCAAGGGTGCGTTGAGGAATCCTCGACACGTCGCAGGGGGGGTCGTATTGGCCCGCTGGGAGGAAGGGATCGGGCCGGATTGATGCACCACTGTCGGAGGACAAACATCAGGGATCGAGTCGATGCCATGGAAGGCCAGAGGACTTCCAGTACCAATGCTGTTCCGCCCACATAAAATTTTCGTGATTCAGAGGTGTGCGCGTAGTGATTTTTCACTACCTCAGAGTTTTATCTTTACTATCACTAACAAGTCAAAAAATCCAAAATTCGCACGTTTTCCAAGGATATTTTATCTTTCAAGTGAGTCCTCGAATCTGAAGGGATGTGAAGCACACGGCGCATCCCAGAGTGGGCCCAGTTGTTGCGCGCGCTTCAACTACGGCTCTCTGGAGAAAGAATCTCAATTCAGGAAAAATCAAGAGGATTCTGAAAGGGTTCATGTGAAATTACAGGAGGAGTACACTATTCAACAAGAAACGCAGCCTTCAGCGTCAAATTCACAAGCATGTAACGTTAAAGTTGAGACACGCTAAACAATTTTACACTTTTTGGAAAGAGAAAAGCACGAGGATTTCGAATCTGCTCCTACTTTAGTATATAATCGCCCTGAAAGGAGCTATAGTCGTTGAAATAGTGCCAATGCAGCGAAAAAGTACCTTTCGGCGGTACTCGGGCAAAAATCCTCAACGTGGCCATTTTTTAATAGTGGACGTATTTAGCAGTTCTAGTAACCTTAATAGAGCAAATCTTCTAGTTTATGATGACGTATTAACTTTTCAGATTGGATGAGTTTGAACGGAGTTATGGCTTTGGAAAGCGTAAAAACTCGCACTCATCACAAATTTTCCTCGTTAATTTTGCAAAAATCCATTTTTTAAATAGTGGACATTTTTAGCAAACCGTTTGATAGAGAAAATCTTCTAGTTTTGTCTGACATATTAACTTTCCGGGAATGATGAAAAGGGCAAGTTACGGCCTCGGAAAGTGTAAAAACTCGTGCTCATCATGAATTTTCCTCGTTAATCGATCTAAATTTGTTATTTCTTATAAATTTTTGTGATTTCAATACTGGTTAGAATACCTCTTTACAAATTTGGTAAGTCTTGTGAAGGAAATAAATAAAGAAGAGATGTTGTCATAGTATGCCATTTTTAGTGAGTAGTTTGTCGTTTTCTGGTCTTTTTCGTTTGCTCGTTTGGTAGGACTCATCAATAATGATTATTTTTTGACTTTTCACTTTTGTACTTTTTAAAAGAATTTTCGGTTGACGGTGTGATAGCAGGGCTTTTTTATGAACAGTTTTGGGGGAGAATTAGACAACCTTTCCATAGTTCGGCTTTTGAAGAGGGTCGTTTCATGGACTTCGGCCTCTGGCGGAGGGAGGGGGGGGGGGGGTCGTATTTCCAAATTTTCCTCGACGCCTCGCTTGACCCCTGGTGTCCGTTAAAAGCAGCTCTCCCTCCTTCCCAGTTCTTGCTTATGTTGTCTGCGCTGAGAGTGGGTTTGCTAATTTTCTCGAATATTCTGTGTCATGTTGTAAGCCTCTATGTAGTATTAACTGATAGCGTACGAGGTTCTAATACCTAGAGATTAGGCAGCAGTTTGACGGCAGCGGCAGGTTCGTCCTTAACACGTTGACGACAGCGTGACGCGGTAACGCGTCCCACTTTGCGCACCTCGTGGGACATTGTGACGCGGTAACGCGTCCCACCCAAGTCATCCCTTTTTCTTGCGCTTGTGCGACTTATTCCTAAGGTCTTTGTACTCATTCTATAGGTCATACATTAGCATACTTAAAACCACATGGCTCACAGAAAGGCCAAATATTCTTTAGTTTGGCAGACGTTTTCCAGACCTTATATGTCTGTTCAGTTCATTCCTCGTTTTCTTTTCAATAACGTAGACATGTTGATAAAAAGGAATAACAGAAATGGAAAGAGGTATGCTTATGCTAAAACAACCACGTGCAAATCAATTTTGGGACCACCAAAGGGAAATTTCCCTTTTCATGGCCTTAACACGTCATTTCGGTCAAACTTCCATTACTGTAACTCCTGATAAGCTAGACAGATCGAACATCATTGAAAACATTTCATCGCATCTAAGTATTGCGTATTTACAACTCAAAATCCATGGATTTGGTGTGCGGCGGCTGCGCTCGCAAAATCGCTCTTGTCCCACGCGGTGCAAAAACACAAAACGCGCGATGTCGTCAACGTGTTAATTGACATTTGCTATGCATAGGATTTGCTTGCTGTGATTAATGTGCGACTGTCATATATTCGTTTAGTATAAACATTCTAATGCTGGACTATTTTTGCTCAAACAGAGTAGTCCTCCTTAACGTCAGTATGCTCAATAGAGGGTAAAATATCGTGGTACTGCTTTCGAGGAAAACCAGAATTAATTTGTCCTGTGTGTGAGCTCTGGTTACAATCACGTTGTGTAGGATACAACAAAGTCTAATACTTGTAAGATTGAATGTTAACAAACTTTATTCAATAAAAGGTTCTTCAGGAGAAAGCCAAAATCTGTCGCAAAGTCCATCGCTCGGGCCGCCGTAATAGCTTATGGGACAATCTGAACACGTTCGACCTGGCATGTAAACATGTTTGTTGACAACATTGCCCCTGAAATACACCGAATGAGTAGTCGCACTAGGTTTCGAAGTAAAGTATAAGGTTGAAACAATACCCGATTCTGTAGTGACATACGATATACCAGTAGCTGCCACATGACTGCGACACAGCGCATCCAATGTACTTCGTTGTAGATCCAGACTGTTTTAGCAATGTGCAGCACTAGTGGTAGATCGAAGGTGACCATGCAGCATGCGAAAATACAATAACAACAGCCCTGGTCTCACCAGCACCCGATTACGGTCAATCAAAAGCAGCCACTTTAACAAAGTAGAATATTTGTTGAGCTTCTCAGAGAGCAAGGTCTGCTCGTAACAACTCCATCCAGCCGCAGCACTTGGAGGCAGGGTCAACCGTGCGTTCGCACTATTCGAACAAGGGGGTCGCATTTGTGGTTGATTTTGAGAAGGGAGGTCCGCACTGGTGGTGGAGTGGGATTAGTAATTTGTTGAGTGGAGGTGGTGAGGCATTGGTTCTTTGAGTGATTTTGGAGGATGTAATGTACAGCTCGGAGTGGGATGGGGATAGGATAGGTGGGTAGTGAGAGGAGAGTAAAATCGCCGTTTCATTGCACAGTAATTCACCGCTCGACGCCTTTTTGGAGGAAAAGTGGGCGGCGCTGAGCTGTGTATGGACTGGCTATCAAGTGCTATAGAAGCAGCCATGATGGCGTGGGTGGCGGTCGGGGTAGGCTAGGCAGGGGTTGTATTGGAAGATTTTCCTGCCCCATGGTGGTGGTGGGGTCGCATCGAGACTCGCCCTAAAGGAGGGGGGTCGCGAAGTTTTTGAAACGTCATGGTTGACCCTGCTTGGAGGAGTGAAGCCGGGTTTGGTAGTGGCGTTTCATTCGTAAACTTCCTTCAGAAGACTTCCTTCGGAAAATGAGCCCTCAGCTCATTGTTTTACAGAGCAAAAGCTTGGGCAAGTAATTTTGAATCGAGTGTTGTTGAGCTGTATGAGTGCGATAGGTGTGAGCGACCCCTTGAACAGCTGCCTTCTGAAGCACAATGGTTTTATTCGGCCTTCGAGTCTGTGATCCTTTTTGATGACGAAAAGATCCTACACCTGGAAAATGTATGGCATTCGATGTCAGCTTTTACAGTGCTGTGCACAGCAGCACTCTGAGCGCTCTAGTTTTTCTCCCATCCGTTACCTGCACCCAAAGAGGTAATCGTGGCTGAATTCTCCCAAGCAATTTGTGCTATCATGCAAGCACATGTATTGAATATTCTAAAATTTGAGGTTTTATTAAATTGGAAATTAGGTAAGAAGCTGACGGTGGCGACAAATTCACTTATTTTTGAATACTAAACTCTAGTGCGGATTGGTCTGTATAGAGTCTCTGGTTACTAAGGCTTCTTTTCAGTGACATTGTGCACTACGATGCTTTCAGAATAAATGTGAACAAAAATTTCATTCATAACACGTCTTGCAAAGAGAACCCTAAGCTTTAGTGCACAATCCATTGCTTGGGTCGCAGTAGTAGCCTATCGGACAATATGAACACGTGCGCCCTGGCATGTAAACATGTTCGTTGACAACATTTCCTCTGAAATGCATCAGGTGAGTAGCAGAGCTAAAATTTGGGGTAAAATATGTATGAGTTTGGAACAATACCCGATTCTGTAGTGGCATACAGTATACCAGTAGCTGCCACATGACTGCGATACAGCGCACCCAATGTATTTCGTTGTCGCCCATGCCATCTAAATCTTTTTAATCGGCTAGCAGTCTTGCCCAAAAGATTAAGCCCCGCTAAAGAGGTATACGTCAGGTATTTTAAACTTGATGGAGGATTCCATCTAACCAGGAAAGGTCATTAGGCCAACCCGGCCAAATGAAATGAGGTGCACATTTCTGTACGCAGCATGAGACGCTGAACTCAAATCTGCTTTCATTATCTGCTGAACTCTTCTCTGAAAGGAGTTACGGAGGGTTTTTGTTGCCGCCCTTGATTTTCAGTGTTTTGCCTGCAATCACATGTTAGCCGCATTATAAAAGTATCGAAAGGAGAACCGAGGCACTGGTGACGTGAGCCTCGGTAGGCGCAGTTGGTAGCGGTCGTGTTTCTCACGGAGGGGGTCGGGGGTTCGGTCCCTTACGGGGTTGTTGTTTTGCTTTTTTTCCAACATGGCTGAAAAGCCTTTTTGAATTGTTATTTTACCAATGGTCGCCCGACGCTACATCTACGAAGAGTTTGCAAGCTGACCTCTTAAACTTAAGCACTACTTGTCTGTGAAAGCCTATGGTGCCCGTAGTGCAGGTGCTATGCTTTTCCGTGGCAAGTAGGTACGATATTCGTATTCAGGGGATCAAACTACCCCTAAAACGAGTTTTTCGCCAAATCTGAGGTGATGAACTAATTGAGAAAAAGCGGAGCAGTGATGGGATTACCACTCCTCAAACTCCACTTTTTTGGGTTGACCAATCATGGACGACGGGGGAAAGGGGAGAGAAGGTGTTGTATTAGGAAATAATGCTTTGCAGATCTTTGGATGATGCAGACGGGCAAGCCAGACACAATTTTTGTCTATTATGAAAAGTTTAAAAGGTTTATTCTACCCAAGTGCCAGCCTTTTGTAATGGATTGGTGGATCGGTGAGTAAGTGACTGCCCAAATTTTCGAGGTTAGGTCAAAATTTCAGAATTCGCTAGAAGTTCGCTCAAAGGAATATCATACTTGTTCGAAGCAAAAATGCCTGGCGCCTGCGCTACAAGCGCCCAAAGTGGTGAGGAGCGGTGCCGCCCAAGTTCATTATTAATTGCCCTCAAATTCTTTTTACTGTTAACTATACGCAAGCATGTTGGACTAGCAATGTTAGGAGTCTTCCTAGCTATCTTACTGCAAACGGCAGTTGATCCCCTGACCTCTTTTTCGTGAGCCTCGACCACAGCCCCTGCGCTTTTCTGCTTCATAATTCCTTTCAGAGAAGAGTTCAGCAGATAAGGAACACATATTTGAGCTCAGCGTCCCAAGGCGCGTATACACATATACATCTCATTTCAATGGCCGGGTTGACCAAATGACCTTTCCTGGTAAGACATCACATGGCAATTCGATTTCAGCGGAAGGAGCTTTGGTAAATTGTCCTTTTCCTTTCAGGGTTGCGCCAATTCTCTCGTTTAAGACGTTACTATTAAAGCTTCTCACCAGGGTAAAGTATCTAATGGTGCTGTATTCGTGCCATGATCTGAAGATGGCCTTCATTCCGATGCCATGAACGCGCCTCACCTGGCCCCACCAGAATTTAATTGCCTGAATGAATCACGGTTATTTATGGTTTAGAATAATATAAAACATCATAGAAGAACCTCTTTCATGGCATCAGTACGGAAGCGTGCACTGCTCTTATGAATACGATGAATGTTTTCCTTCACTTGAGGAGGAAGCGTAGATCCACTTGTAGTACATTTATCCGCGACTTCTTTCGCAGACGTTTCCAAATTGCAGTCATACCTCTGCAACGACTTACTATAATGTTGTTTACTCAGACCACTGTTCGGTAAGTGTTCTGGTTTGTTTTTCCTACTTATGTTGAGCAGTACGACACCTTATAGGTTTTTGTTTTTTGGTAAGTTGACCAGCAAATTCGGCGTTAGGAGCCGCGTGGTTGCAGTTTTCGAGAGTACGCGAAGGTCAATAAAAGAACCTCAGATTTTTAAAAATCTCCTTCTATAAAGCTTTACAGAATGAACTGTATCAAGCAATAAGAGGGATCTGGAGACCAATTTTCTTATAGAACTGCTCACCATCTTTAGCATATTGGTTGCAGGTCGGAGGAATGCACCATTATTTTTTCTGACCAATCCTCGAGCAAGTCTCGATCTGAATCACTTCAGTGCAATAAGTGGGTTTATCCATGCTAGATAGGAGTACTGGGAATGTAACCTTCTGTAATTATGTCCATCACGGGCAATGTTTCTAATCCTATCGTTCATACCACGATTACCAGAGCAGATCTGATTGATTCCTGCAATTGACTCTTTTACACCAGTCAGAAACACCGAGGTTTGCCTTATATTAAGTTGTCCCATAAGTTCGTGCCACTTTTTTGCACCTCATGCCAGAACTTCATTTAGCGATTTCTGAATATGACCAAGTAGGCTACGAAGAGCCCACTTCGTGTAGTAACCTATACCCGAACCATGCCCACCTTAGCTGCTTTCTACGGATTCAAAATCGAAAAAGAAGAGCCATGTTTTCCACACTTTGATTTATGAACTTCTACTGGGCCGCAAATCGGTCGAAGCCAGGAGCAGCATTTGTATTGCGATACAGATGCTTGTTCTTGTTCACCAAGCAGCATCAGAATGGTCAAACCTGCTTCGCTCTGAAGACTGCAGTCTGGAGAAAATCCTGACCCAGGAGGGCGATCTGGCCGACTTGGACCTGCTGTGCTCTACCATTGAAGGCAACCAGCACGAATTACTTTGCTGTGACACCCCCACACTCAGGTGGAGGATTGAAGTCTGCCCTCCTTTGGAAAAGTCGTAGAGGCATGGACAAATGAAATCCCCTTATGAATTGACCCGTAATCACAAGAGTGTAACGCGAGTTCTATTGACGTCATCTATCCTATTCCGTCCCTACGCGGTGGCCGAACAGCGGCGCTACTTCGGTGGGAAGTAGTTGCTCTATGCTAATGATCTGCGGAAGCATCAGTGGCTAGATGGTGTTTAGAAGGGGCTGAACAACTGTCAAATACAGCAAAACGTGTTACTCCAGGTATGGGAAGCAAAACTCGAACCAACCACTGCAAATTTCTCCCTCAGCTTCGGCTTTGTAACAGCATAGGTCTCCTTTGATCAACGCCTGAAGCGAACTAGAAAACTAAAACTATGGCGCCCATAATTCAATAAAATATGTCGTTGACCGAGATAACGTGCTTCGGAAATAGCGTCTCTTGATGTCGAAGCTTGGTTGAGAACTGCTACCAGGTCGCCCGTGTTGCGATTATCAGCGTGCTTCGAAAGGCAAACTACACTTCTTGCTATGGAATCACGCCTCCATCCCCACGGCCACACATCGACGACGGATATTGTTTTTTGTTGAGATAGGGTCAACTCAAAAAAATGTTCGAAAGTGGCACGAACGTTTGGGACAACCAGATGAGCTTCTTATGGAGTCATGGTGACATGTAAGCAATTGAAAGAATGTTCCTTCCCTGTGCAGACAGCCATAGCTGAAGTACATTGCTGTGACATTATCAGGATTGAAGCCGCTAACGAAAATAAATATCATTTTGGTTTGGTTTGAGGAGTGCTTACTGGGATTCGAAGGAAGCCCATTTGTTGTTGTTGTTGGTTGTGTTGTTGTCGTTGTTGTGGGTGTCGTCGTTGTTGCTTCTGGTGTCGTTACTTCTGACGTCGTTGTCATTGCTTCTGATGTCGTTGTTGCTTCTGATGTCGTTGTTACTTCTGACGTCGTTGTCATTGCTTCTGATGTCGTTGTTATTGCTTCTGAAGTTGTTGTTGCCTCTGACGTCGTGGTCGTTGCTTCTGACGTCGTTGTTGTTGCTTCTGACGTCGTTGTTGTTGCTTCTGGTGTCGTTGTTGCTTCTGACGTCGTAGGTCGTTGCTTCTGACGTCGTTGTGTTTGCTCCTGACGTCGTCGTCGGTTCTGACGTCGTTGTCGTTGCTTCCGATGTCGTTGTTTTTGCTTCTGCTGTTGAAGAAGCTAATGATGTGCTGGAAGCATCACCATCCTGTCCTGAGCCGCCACCATAATAATCCTCGTCTTGTGTTGACGCTAAAGTGGCCAGCTGAAATTACGCCATAAGTAGAAGTGATGAAAATGCTCTGAAATTGGAGGACAAAGAGCTTTACCAGCATCGCAAGAATCACATGAAGCAGATCCATCGTCGCTTGATATCTCAGACTGCTAGGTCCTCCTTCTTTTACATAGCTAGCTCTTTTATATAGCTAATATGCCATGAGCGTTTTCGAATTCTCATTCAGCAACAACGTTTCGGAATCTGTGAAATGACAACGTTGAAGCTCACACAAACAAGCAAAAACTTATCGTGTTAGTTTCACTTCTGACAGAATCA